AGATACATATCTTAATAGGACCCATTAATGAAAACTGGAAAAGGCAAGAGAAAAATGAGACATATTGTTAGCTGTTAGCAATCATGGCATTCTACATGGTATCAGGGAAACCTATAAAATCCAGCACCAAATATTCCAAAATTTGCAAAAAAAGAAAGAAAGTAAGCTATACATGAAAAACATAGTTTGCACTCTTAAAAAGTAGCAATCCTGATGATAATAATTTATATGACCTATTCTCAATTATGACTAATTTTCCCTACTCATGTTAATGACTGCATATAATTAAAATTACTTAGGAGACTCATGTGGTTGACACCTTTTGTATAAAGACAGTGAATGTCTGCTGTTGCTTCTTACTGTGAAGAACACAGAATGAACTGAGACTGCCTGGTCCAAGTATCCCCACTGCTGACAAAGCATGCGACCACTGACATGTTGCTCTCAAGTCTGTCATGAGTGAAAGGATTTTATAGTTCCTTACTTCCTAGGTTTGGTGTAAAGACCATTGAGTCAATAGATATAATCATTTGTTAGCATGACATTGGCACCAAGTGAACTCCCACAATGTCATCACCCTTATTCTCAATACTAAAATTGATTCAATGCTCATATTTCTAAAATATTTAGAGGAACTAAGGCAGTATACCTATACACACACACATATACATGACTATGGTGTGTTTAACTGCTGTATACCTATAACTGGTATGTAACCTTAGGTGATGCTATGTATATCGTCATAGTACAGTAGCATCTGCTGACATCATTTTGCATTGTATTTGAATAATTTAATGTATTCAAAGAATGTATTTAAAGAATTATTGATTAATAATGATCTATTTTATATAAAAACATTCTAGAAAATATAAATTTCTTGACAAATTTCCAAAGTATTAAGAACACTATTCTTAAATTTTTAATTACAACTTTTAAAAGTTGCTTTAGAAGTTTGCTTGCTTCTTAACAATTAATTTGTATGCTGTTATTCCCTGGAAAGTCATCATTTTGTCTGGAAGATTCTAGGTGGTATCATCACCATTACAGGATCAATGGAAGGGAATAGCACACCCTCTACTGACTTCACTTTTATAGGGCTGTTCAACAGAAAAGAAACATCAGGCCTTCTTTTTGCCATCATCACTGTCATCTTCTTCACCGCACTGATGGCCAATGGAGTCATGATCCTCCTGATCCAAACTGATTTGCGCCTCCACACACCCATGTACTTTCTCCTCAGCCACCTCTCCTTCATTGACATGATGTACATCTCCACCATTGTGCCCAAGATGCTGATCGATTACCTGCTGGGTCAAAGGACCATTTCCTTTGTGGGGTGCACAGCTCAACACTTTCTCTATCTCACCCTCGTCGGGGCTGAATTCTTCCTTCTGGGACTCATGGCCTATGACCGCTATGTGGCCATCTGCAACCCACTGAGATACCCTGCCCTCATGAGCCGCCGGGTCTGTTGGATGATCATAGCAGGTTCCTGGTTTGGGGGCTCTTTGGATGGCTTCCTCCTAACCCCTATCACCATGAGCTTTCCTTTCTGTAATTCCCGGGAGATTAACCATTTCTTCTGTGAGGCACCTGCAGTCCTGAAATTGGCATGTGCAGACACAGCTCTCTATGAGACAGTAATGTATGCGTGCTGTGTTTTGATGCTGCTGATTCCCTTCTCTGTGGTGATTGCTTCCTATGCCCGAATCCTGATCACAGTCCACCGCATGAGCTCAGTGGAGGGTAGGAGGAAGGCATTTGCCACCTGTTCATCTCACATGACTGTGGTGACCTTGTTCTATGGGGCTGCCATGTATACCTACATGTTACCTCACTCTTACCACACACCTTCCCAAGACAAAGTCCTCTCCATGTTTTACACCATCCTCACACCCTTGCTGAACCCCCTCATCTACAGCCTGAGAAATAAAGATGTGACTGGAGCTCTGACAAGGGCACTGGGAAGGTTGAAGGGTTCTCAAAAAGTGTCAGGAAGTGCCTTTTGAAAATCAGTTCCTTCCTATGCTGAAGGTAAATGGGAGACTCTGTGGTCATTGTGGCCATGCTGTCCTTGAGGGAATAAACAGGAAGGAATGGTTTGATATCATAGTTATATATTAGTTTTCATCCATGGTTCCTGGATCATCACTCCCATATCTCTTGGGGTGCTTTGGGCCTCAGAAAACAGAATCTCTCTGGCTTTCTCCTGCCATTTGTTCACTTGCTCCTTTTTCTTCCCAAGGCAGGTCTTGGAAACTAAAAATATTCTCTACCCTTTTCCCACTTAGGGTCATAAAGAAATTCTTTGACCTACCTTGTCTGATTATAGGTCATAGGTCCCTTATTTCAGAAGGCCCCATTTACCAGAGGAAGGAATGTTACACAGATAGGCCAAGAATAATCTCAACAGACAGGGCCTGCTGGTTTTCCCCACTCGGTCTATCATACCCTTCTTGTATAATCACATTTGTACACAGTTGCCTATTGGTCAATCATGCCTAGCTAATTAAGTCTCCATGAAAAGCCCAAGAGCATGAGATATAGAAAACTTATGAACAATTGAACTTGACACTTGCTGGAAGGTAACCAAGAACTTATTTGTGTGCCCAGGAGGGTGTCACACTCCAACTCCTTAAGAACAGAAGCTCCTGCATTTAGAACCCTTCCAGACCTAGCCCCATGTATCTTTTCATGTGACTGCTTATTTGTATCCTTGGTAATATTCTTTATAGTAAACTTGAGTCAGTGTTTCCCTGAGTTCTGTGAGCCACTCTAGCAAATTAATGAATCCCAAGGATTAATTGGATAGATGTGAAAAAATTTTAATTTTTCAATTAAATACAGGCAGTCCCTGAGTTACAAACATTCAACTTACATGTAACTCACATTTACTAATAGAGGCTATTATAGTAAGTCCCTGGCTTACAAATACCCAACTGAGGTATGACTTGTACTTATGAATGGGGGCTATTACAGGTAATAGGCAAATGTAACTGTTTTGACTTACATACAAATTCAACTTAAGAACAAACCTACAGAACTTATTTTGTTCATAAGCCAGGGAGTGTCTATACTCTGAAATGTGACTGCTTGGCAAACTGAGTATTTTAAGATGACAGTGTACACACGCCTCTTGAGATTTTCATAACCCAACATTTTTAGTGACCAATATAATGTAAATTCTGACTAGGCTCTTGTTCATATGCACTTTGTAACCTCTTGCTTCCTCCCCAATATTCCCTGTTCTCACAGCAATCATCAACTGCTGTTATATTGTCTGTTTAGCAGGAGGAGACAATTTCAGAGTCATAAGAAAAATATTTTAGTTTGCCTTGTAGAAGAAATGAATGCCTTTCAGGAAGTTAGCTGCTGATTCTGAGAAGTCTGGTTGCTCAACATGTTATCTCAGACTAAATAAACACATACTTCACTCTCAGTTCTCTGAAATTCCCTTACTTACCCACTAGCCAGCTCAACATGTTATCTCAGACTTAAGAAACACAGAATTAATTCTTAGTTCTCTGAAATTCCCTTACCCACTAGCCAAAATATCCCCACTTCATCTCTTTTGAAAGATGAATCTGATACATTTTGTTCTCCCAACTTCCTACTTTTGCTGAATTGAATATATGTTTCACTAGCTCCAGTGTCACATTTGGCTTCAGCTGCCCATTGAGTATTAGAGCCCAAATTTGGGATCTGCGAAGGAAGGCACCTCAGGTGCCAGAGAAGGTTTGTGGTGAATGTCTCAGTGAAACCAGAGTAGAAGGAGAACTTTGGCTGCTTGGCAGCCCCAACTCCTAATCCTATCTCCTGCAACTCCCATGGTGCTGCTTACCTTGCAGCTTTAGATCTATGGTTCCTTAGTTTCCAGAGATACCCTCTGCTCATGTGGCTCCCGCTCTCTAATGCCTATGCCTCTGGAACTTCTCCCCACCTGTGCAGCCCCACCTCTGCAATTTTTGCATGGTTGAAGCCTACCCCAATCCTTGTGGCTCCATCTGCATGGTTCCCATGATGTGATCTGACCCTGCAGCCCCACCCATGCAGCTCGTTCCCAAACTCCAGGCTGAAACACCAGCTCTGAGGCTTCTCCTGGGCTTGGGCCTGTGGTTCCATCCATAAGGGCCTCACTGTTGGTTACAGTGCTGCCCCCAGGACCCAAGGCTTTGCTTCTGTGGCTTCTAGTGCTCCTGCAGGGGTAGTGACTCCAGCCTTGAGATTCCAGTGCTGTGTATGGTCCCCACAGAACTGCCCTGAGGTCCAACATTCCACCAGTTATTCTCCCCAAATTGAGATCCCATTACAACTGAACCTGAGTTAAGGTTCAACCACAGCCAAGATATCCATGACCACTGCCTAGATAGCTTCACCCAGATGCCACTGTCATCTCTGCAGGGAGACTCTTCAGCATAGAAATCCCCCATAGTCTCAGCCTCCATGGAGAGGGTCTTACCCAGTCCACAACTCAAGCTTTAAAAAACTCTCTGGGGAACAACCCACCACTCCACACAAAAAATCAGGCAGCATTGACTTAAACTGTGACAATCACAGAGGAATAGGACAAAACAGAATACCTTCAATATACAGGCTGTCAGTGGACCTGTTCATCCCATTCATGGACAACATATCAGAGTAGGAAACAAAAGCACCATCTAGGGACCAACACTTGTTCTCTCTAAGCAGGAGAGTTCCCAGAAAAGAACAACAAGTGCCCTGCAAATCTACCAGCCCTGAGCTGACACAGAGGATCCAGATGAGAAGAAATAAGCAAAATAACCCTAAAAACATGAAACAGTAAGTTTCACACCAAACAGGGATCATAATGAATCTACAGTAGTGGAACTAACCAAAAGGAAATTCTCAAAACGTTAGATATGGAATTCAGAATATGGATGGTAAGTAAGATGAATAAAATTGAAGAGAAAGTTGAAAATAAACAAAAAGCTCAAAAAGTATTATAAGACATCAATTCAAAAATTACTAAAGAGCTAAACAATAGAAGAAATGACATAATAGAACTTAAAAAAAATTAAAGAATCATTTAGAGATTTTCAACATCCAGCATAAAGCTTTACTAACATGCTAAAGCAGGCAGAAGAATCTCAGAGCTTGAATACTACACTTCTAAGCTAACCTTCACATTTAAAGATGCAGAAAACAGAATAAAGAAGATTGAGCAATCATTCAGAGAAATAAGGAACTATGCAAAGCAAACTATTATGTAAATTGTAAGTATCCCTGAGGAAGAAGAAGAAAGGAGGGGGGAAGCATGGAAAAACTATTCAAGGGAATTATTGAGAAAAATGTCCTTGGAACACGTATTGACAGAGATTCAAACATCCAGATACAAGATGGTCATCAAACACCAGGAAGATTCATAGCAAATAAGACATCTCAAATACACACATAAATCCACCTTGCCAAATTCATAATAAAGAAGAAAATTCTACAAACTGCAAGACAAAAGCAACAACTAACTTACAAAGGAAAACCCATGAGGCTAATAGCAGACTACTCAGTGGATCAGCAATAATCTCAGCTTAGATAAACCTCATTGACTACAATACTGCAACTGCACAAACCTAGAGACTACTCAGTGGAGATCTTATAAGCCAGAAGGAATTGAGACCCTTCTTTAGTATTTTTAAACATAACAAGGACCAGCCAAGAATCTTGTGTCCTGTGAAACTAAGTTTTGTAAACAAAAGAGAAAAAAAGAATTTCCATACAACCAAATACTGAGAAAATTTGTCAAGGCTATATTTGCCCTTCAGGAAATACTCAGAACCGTATTATACATGAATCAATCAGCACAATAGACACTAGTATAAAATCACCCAAAGAAACTTAAACTCACAACTCCCATGAAACAATGGCACAAGAGGGAAGTAAAGCAATAAAGTAATACCCAACATCATAAAAAGAATGGTCACATAAATTATTCTATCACTCAACATTAACAGTCTGAATGCTCCACTCATAAGACATAGGCTAACTGGATAAAGGAAAAAAACACAACAAACATATCTGCTGTCTCCATTAAGCACATATAAACCACAAAGACTCAAACAAATTCAAGGTGAAGGGATAAAAAAGAATATTCCATGCAAATGGAAACAAAAGGAGAGGTGTAGTTATTCTATCAGATAAAATTGACTCTAAATCAAAAAGGGAAAAGAAAAAGGTGCTCATTTGTTAATGGTAGAGGGTTCAATTCAACCACAAGATATAACAATACTAAATGTATATGCACCTAACATAGGATCTCTCAGACTGATACAGAAAATTCTACCAGATCTAAGCAAAAAAATAAATAGTAGCAATGTAATTGCTGGTGTCTTCAATAGAGCTGGAAATAAGGAAACACTGGATTAAAGCAGAAAATAAGTAAACACCGGATTTAAATATACCCTAGAATAAATGAAACTAACATATATTTACAGAACATTCTACTTAAAAACTACTAACTAACCATTCTTCTCATCAGAACATGGGGCATTCTCCATGGCTGATTATATCTGAGGCCACAAAAAATGTCTCAACAAATTCAAATGCTTCAAAATGGCCCTATTTTACAAATTCTATGGAAGG